CTGCCACTGCCGGTGCCCACGGCCGTGTGGACTGACGTCGGCATCGATTTCGTAGAAGCGCTCCCTCGTGTGGGCGGGAAGTCTGTTATCCTCACCGTGGTGGATCGCTTCAGCAAGTACTGCCACTTTGTGGCGCTGGCCCACCCGTACACGGCGGAATCAGTGGCGCAGGTGTTCTTCGCTGAGATTGTGCGTCTCCATGGCGTCCCGCAGTCCATGGTCTCTGACCGCGACCCCGTCTTCACCTCGGCTTTTTGGCGGGAGCTCATGCGCCTCACCGGGACCAAGCTACACATGATGACGGTGTTTCATCCACAGTCGGATGGCCAAACGGAGGCTGCTAACAAGATCATTGTGATGTATCTCCGTTGTCTCACCGGGGATCGTCCCAGGCAGTGGCTCCGATGGCTTCCCTGGGCCGAGTACATATACAACACCGCCTACCAGACATCAACCCAAGAAACTCCGTTCAAGCTTGTGTATGGCCGTGACCCTCCCACTATTCGCTCTTACGAGCCGGGCGATACACGGGTGGCCGCAGTGGCCAGGAGCATGGCGGAGCGCGACGAGTTACTCGCAGACGTCCGCTATCGTCTACAGCAGGCACAAGCGGTCTACAAGTCCTACTACGACAGACGCCATCGGGACATTCGGCATGACGTGGGCGATTGGGTCTGGCTTCGTCTTCGCCAGCGCGCCGCGTCCTCTCCCAACCTGCCAACCAGGGGCAAGCTCAAGCCACGCTTCTATGGGTCGTACCGCATTTCAGAGGTCGTCAACGACGTGGCCTACCGCCTTGAGCTTCCGGCACGCTCGCGCCTCCATGACGTGTTCCACGTGGGCCTCCTCAAGAAGTTCTTCGGCACGCCTCCAACTGCACCACCGGGATTGCCTCCGATCCACAACGGGGCGGCTGTTCCAGAACCGGAGCGCGTGACTCGTGCACGACTAGCACGCGGCGTTCGCCAGCTGCTCGTCCACTGGAAGGGTGAAGCAGCATCATCAGCTACATGGGAGGATCTTGACAGTTTTGTCGAGCGCTACCCCGCTTTTCAGCTCGAGGACGAGCTGCTCGTCGAGGGGGGGAGAGATGTCATGTGGGGCGCTGCGTACAGGCGCGGGTCGCGCGCCCAGGGGCAGCAGCCGACGGCCACAGCTGGCGGGGCATGATCGGGACAAGGAGTCCTGATCCTACGTTGGTTCCTAGAGTCCAGGAATAGTTAGTTTCCTAGTTTGTTAGGAGTCCAGGAGTAGTTAGTTTCCTAGTTTGTTAGAAGCCCATAAGGCCTTTATATATCCTGTAATCTGCACCCTTGGACGCAGGCAATAAATCATTATCTCCTACCTCCTCCTCTACTCCTAATCTCTTCTCCTGCACCATTGAGCAGTTAGGCAAAAACCCTAGCGCTCCTATCAACCGAGACTACGAACTACGTAGTCGAGGTCCTGCTGTCTTGGGCACCGAGGTCCTTGACAATTGTTATCCATGTGGTTTCCATGATTTTTATATGGATATAAGCTTGAGATAGTTCTTATTTCCCAGATTAGATCTGACTGCGGGTATAAGACTTTCTTATTTACTCGGTTTGCTACTCATGCAGGGGGTGCCTCAGTTTGGTCTGCCATAGGCCTTCATCGCTATGTTGAATCACATGCTACTTTTAACCGGAGGTGAGGTGCTCAGATTTGGAAAATTGGTTACGCTTGTTTTGTTCACTTCCTAACTTGCAATGAACAGAGCAGTCTCTGCAATATGTTGTTTTGTTATTTTCATTTTATGAGCACAAATATGTCTATCATAAGATTATTAGAGTTGACAACCAGGAACTAGCTACTTAAGCATTAACATTGTATATGCATTGTATACATTAAAACAATCAGTGGCGGTGCTAATTTCAGCTTTTTTTTATTTCTGAACTCAAGAAATAAACTTTCTCTGAATGTTTACATATTTATCTGAATTGGAAACAATCTTGCTGCACCATTGCAGTTATTTAATGAGGGATACTTCTTTTCTATTTTAGCGTATCAATGGCCCCAGGAACTCGAGTGAGGAATACGTCATGCCCCTTCAAAGTGACATATCAATATTATCATCATGTATCGAAGATACTAGGCACCATGACTTTCTGATATATATTCTTATGTCTTAGAAGTTTCTCACTTCAAAATTAAATTTAACTCACCATATAGAATGCACTCAATACAATCGAAAAGATTACAACTGAAGTAGCAATTTTCCAAAACAATTATGTTTACACTTGTTCTACTGTTTAGAGGTTCGTTTAGTTTTACCCTCTGAAGACAAAATCAAATATACTTCTCCAAAATTGGTCTGGCTTATCACATTGTGAAGATCCACGCTGTTGTAGTTCCCTTTGTAAACATGTACTTTCAGTTGTGGTGATATTTTTATCACATCATGCAATTTAAGATAAGGAATACAAAGAAGAAATAACTAGGTCATATCAGGGGTGGTTTCATTCTAAATATGACTAATAAAGAAAACAAATCTTTTAGAGCTTCGAATGTAGGAAGTATATATGATCTATTAGATTTGGAACTTCCTAGACATTTAGAAGAAAACACCTAACTCGGCAAAGCAAATGATCATATATTGGTTTGTCTTTCAAAAAGCAATCGTAACAATAAAGTGGACGTGGTAGAAAAATAAGGCCTAAGAGGAAAAGAAAGGCGAGGAGGAAGAGATGCACAAGAGATTTGGTTGCACACATAAACACTCTCGGTATTTAGTGACTTGAATCTACGAGGTCTACTTGAATCTCTATTTGACATTTTCTTCCACAAATCAACGATAACTTATACTCCCTCTATCTGGAATTACCTGTCGCTCAAACAGATGTATCTAGCACTAAAATACTTTTAGATACATCCATTTGAACAACAAGTAATTCCGGACAGAGAAGTATATCTTAAAGAGCTAGTTTTAATGGCAACATTAGTAGGGGGAACTGTCGCCGCCTGGAGGGGCTTCGACATCTTGAGTTATGTAAAACCTTGAGGCTGCAAACCACATTTTAAGATGATATCTGAACACATCCCGATATTCTTGACCCGCAAACCACATTTTAAGATGATACCTGAACACATCCCGATGTTCTAGGCCATCTCTTGAGTCTCAACTTTTTGATGTATCCAAATGCCCCTCTGATACACCGAGAAGTGGAGAGACGAGGAAGAGAAAGCCGAAGTAGATCTAGATAGGTCGAGATGCTCCTCTCATTAGATTGTGACTCAAGACCTCAATATGCTACCTAAGTCAATATATGGTGAGCATAATTGCTGTGAATCAAGTAGAAACTAACATCCATCCCAATATTCATCTGAGCATTCATCTCAACCCTAATCCATCAACTCATTTAAGCCCTAATCCATGTACAACCAATGCATTTATCCATTCATTTCTGCAACTTGCACTTTCTTGTATCTAATAAGCATCAATCCATCCATCCATTTATTTATCTACAAGACACCCAGCCATGCATTCTAGGGTTAGAGAACGGGGAAAACTCGAAAACTCACCATGGGGAGGAGGAAGAGGCAGCAACAGCAGTGATGTTGGCTTGGACGCACTCGACAAGGTCTTGGAAAAAGCCGCGACAGAGCCCACGCCATGATCGGGGATGAGCAGCCGGTGGAGCCCATACCACGTTCAGGGAAGAGGAGGCGGCGGTATTGATTTTGACCTCTAAAACTCTGTTTCATCATGCGGACGCTGCTTTTGGCATAAATCGTTGAAGGCCAGGTGTACATTTCTCTCTGCATCATCATAATTTGGATGTTTTTGTTATGGTGCTCTTAGAAGGAGGGTGCAAGAGGGACGGCCGGTGGCCTCTTTGCCCATGGCCGGGCAAGAGGGAAGGGATTTCCTTCTTAATTCTTGCTTGATTAGATTGATACATCTCCTCCCTTTATATAGAGAGGGGTTTACTTGACTCCCCAGCAAGGCTTACTTGACTCCTAAGTAAGCGACCCTTATCTTTAATTAACCCTAAGACTAACGGGCTATACCGCCAGTCCGGGCCCATTAGGCCTATTACGTACTCTAACACTACACCCCACCTGGATATGCAGCTTGTCCTCGAGCTGCAACATAACCAACTTATAACCATGACTCGACGCAACACAAACCTAATACCTAAAAACAAGCCTTTTACATCTCGGCTTGTTTTATTACTCTCAACCTGAAATGGACTGGGACGCTTTATTTTGGACCCCTTAACATAAAGTGGACACCATCCGCGCGTCGGACGTGCACGTGTACAGCCACCTGGATCCCATGGGCACCATCTTGACAGAAGGAGTCCATGTGTATGGCCACTTGGAAGTGGTTGCAAGAGCGACCAGCAGAGGCGCCCTCGCGGCGGCCGACGGTGGAATGCAGTGGTGCTGCGCGGTGCGCTCCTGTCGGTGACACCATGCCTTCTCCTCGCCGGATGGCTGTTGGTCTGCACCGCACAGAGAAGAGTGGAGGGCTTTCGATGGAGAATTGCAAGCAGGGGTGCGCCCCCCAACCGCCGATGTCACAGACTTTGAGGTCGCTGTCCGTGGGGGAAAACAGCATGCCCGCCGCCCGTGGGGAAAACCGCATGCCCAAGATCCCCGACGCAGCGGACAAGATCGAGATCCTTTGCGCAGTGAAGCGCAACTGGGAGGAGCGGCAGTTGCAGACCATGCATCTCCCACATACGCCGACGCGCTAAGAGGCCGCACGCAGCAGCATGCAGCCTCACCGCCGCCGACACGTGGCGGATAGCGATCCAAGCCGGAAGCGGTGACGGCGACGGCGGAAACTTGATGTGCTGGATGGGGACGCCCTAGGACGGCGGTGGCGCTGATGGGAATGAGGCCGTCGCAGTCCCGTCGTAGGGCATCCCATACTAGTACGAGATGACCGGCGCCATGGTTGCGTTCGAGGGCAGCAACGGCGGGGGTAGCTGCTGTTGGTGCGGTGGAGGAGGTGGTTGCTGGGGATGCGGCTAGGGCGCATAGGGCCCGACGAGGAAGGCTCTGATACCCGCCACGGCCTGCCGTAATTCCAGGATTGCGGCCGTCATCTGCTCCAGGGTGAGGACGAGGGAGGACGGCGCCGTGGCTGAGGCGCCCTCGCGGGCAGAGGGTGCAATCGCCCCTGAGTACGCCAGCACGCCCAATGCCAGCGCGCCTGCCGTGTGGGGCAGCAACGCCACTGAAGACGCTGGTGGCGGCGGGTAGGTGTGCGGCGGCGGCGGGTGGGAAGAACTCAATGGAGGGCTGGACATGATCAAATCCGGAAAAACTGATACCAAATTATTATGGTGCTCCTAGAAGGAGGGTGCAAGAGGGCCGGCCGGGGGCCTCTTTGCCCATGGCCGGGCAAGAGGGAAGGGATTTTCTTTTTAATTCTTGCTTGATTAGATTAATACATCTCCTCCCCTTATATAAAGAGGTTTACTTGACTCCTCAGTAAGGCTTACTTGACCCCTAAGCAAGCGACCCTTATCTTTAATTAACACTAAGACTAACGGGCTATACCGCCAGCCCATGCCCATTAGGCCCATTACGTACTAGTTTTGCTCTGTCATTGTTGTTTGTTTCATGTCGACCCGATTGTGTTGTGCCTATATGTGTTCCTTATGCGGTTACCGTTATGGCAATGCGCCTAATTTGTGTGTATGGCATGCAAACTGATTGATGTGTTGTGAATGTGCCGGTGTCAGAAACTGAACTTGCTAGCTTGGTAAGAATTGTTTCATATTTCTGTAACTCTCTCATATTGCGGCACCATTTCAAGCCAAGTTTATTTGTATGATGCAATGAAAACCTCAATATAGATTGTTGCGTTCCCATAAGGAGGCGTCAGGGCGCAGCAAAGCCCCCAAAACGTTTCTAGTCTGTTTGCACGGGCGCTGCATGATACAGGATTGGCGTCAAGCAACTCCTATGATCCGAATATGGCAAAGCCCTCTTCGATCCACCCGGCGTCACGATATGATGTTTACATTGATGCGAATGAAGCAGACCGCAAGCCGAGCGAAACAAAATACTCCCTCCATTCCTAAATATATAAGCCTTTTTAGAGATTCAACTACAGATTACATACGGAGCAAAATGAGTGAATTTAGACTCTAAAGTACATTCATATACATCCGTGGTGAAATCTCAAAAAGGGCTTGTATTTAGAAACAAAGGGAGTATTTGCACCCGCAGAAAAAAAGGGAGTATTTGCGACCTGGATTGGACCCTTGCCAGCATACGAGTTGCTGAAACCACGTAAGCACACCCAACCACAGCAACGGTGGCTACACAACACAACACAACGGTCCCACTCCAACGTTGAATGAGCAAGACACTCGATTACGTTCCAAACCACAATCCAAGGCGTCACAATTACAGAATAAATAGCAGGTCCGTCCTCCTTTCTCTTTCTACACACAAAAAATAATTTCGCAACGGTCGCTCTCCTGGGCAGGGAGACAGACATACAGTGGACACAAGCACACACCACCAGACGAATTTATATGCCCCTGGGCCCTCTCACCGGATGCAAGTCGGCAAGGTGAAGCCGTGGCAAACGAAGAAGAGGGCGATGTATACTATTACAAGGAGGAGGAGTATCAACGCGGCCCTGCAGGAAAGAAAAAGGAGGAAATATATGAGATGCTTAATTTTTGCCGACAAGAGGTTGAAAAGGCAGCCGACTAAAGAGAACATCAGTTGGTTTAGGTAGCCACCCTTGGTAGATAAATACAAGTCTCTGTTAGGTCATGTAAACTGCGCAAGCAAGCTGCTTGGCACAGAAAAAACAGAGCAGCTTCAGACTAAACCTACACTTCAAGTTCATATAGCACATGGCTTCAAGTATATTGAGAGATGATTCATAACATACAGTGTATACAACATGTTCCATATCAGGGTAATCTACTTATTCACATACAGCAATTTCCAGTCTTTGTGCCCACCAGAAGATAACCTATGTCAGAATCTACGCTGCTCACTTTGTTATTGACAGAACTAACAAGTACTGATGTACATACAGGGGCCAGTCTATGTTGCACTCAAAATACTGCCACAAAGTCGCATTCACTAATCCTGAATAAAACCCTGTCAGAAAGTGCTTACTGCACAAATGTTACGAGTGCGACAAAACTGCAGCTTTCACTTCGCATAGATTGAAGTGAATATGAGGACAACTGGGGAAAAGTTTATGGTGGGTGTAAGAGATTGGCGCAGAGAAGTTCATTAACCAAGCACAGTAACTCATGGAATGAAAAATGAGTGTAAAAAATTAATAGGAGAGGACTACATACGTGAGTTTGACATTTCTCCACCAAGTTGTGCTTCTGTAGCGGCGAGCCTGTCTTTTGAATCGAACTGTATTCCCTTGCATAGTTGTAGTCTTGTCCACCAATAGGTCTAAACGGTCACCTCTTTCAAGGACTTTATCAATATTATCAATCATAACACTCCTAACCTGCAAGAGAATAATGAAGAGTAGGTATCATTCTGAACTGACAAATCTATCGGGTAACATGCATCTGACACGGAAGCAATGCAAGTCTGACAACTAGCAATTTAAACAAAATGCCAGTTCAAGTACACAACAGACCACTGCATGTTTACTAGATTTAAGAATGCCAGCATGAGCTCAATTAACTTCTAGAACATAAGCTTTTCAATATTATACTCCAGGAAACACCTGCATATTGGCCAAAATATATCTATGGTGTTCACAAAATAAAACTGAAAAAGAAGGCTATACCTGACTGATTTCGCCTCTCATACGGTTGATTTGATCTGCACTAGGGTCATTTGAATAGTAGTCCATTTGCTGACTGAGAACCCTTGAGAATTCGTCATTCATTGCATAAGCAAGAGCTGTCAGTGCAGCACGGCCATATGTCTTAACAAACTTTCCATGGATATCCTCGAGGAAAGCAAATGGGATACGCCCTACAACAAAAATTAGCTCATAAGGAGATTGCTACGTGATGCATATCACAAGAGGGACATAGTAAGCCGCAGAGATAAAATCTACAGGTGTGAACCTTTAGACATCAGTCAATGCTTAATGTGATAGATTTGGTTAGCACATAATAAACTCAATTTGGTACAGGGGATTTGACAGATTGCTGTTAGCAAAGAGCTCGACAGTATACCATGCGGCCAAGCAGAGCCAACTTAGCTTAAATACCTCTGATTGAACATCAAACAATCATCACCATCCGCACCAAACTCCATATACTACAAGGAATAGACTACGAATTACAGCAGAGTATTGCCAAAATCGCACAATTTTCCAGACTAGATGCTTACTTTCTTAGGCTCGATAATAATGTGCAATTCGAGGTGGCAGATTTTAAAAAGATGAGACAGCTAGAGTTAGCTAAACGATAAACACTAGCAGCACTTTCACAGCATCTAATGCGTTTGACCTCAAGGTCAAAATCCAGGCGGGCAGCCTGGACTCCATGTATCCTCGAACGGACGGCAATTGGCGAGCCCTGAATCAATCCGAACAATTTGCCCCGTTTGACCCGATCTAGCAATCCCCCAAAACAGGCCTGCAACGACTGGAGCAGCAGCAGCAGACAGAGACCGGGGACGCGCGTACTGACAAACCCCAGCACAGCACAGCACATTAAATTCCCCCGGATCTCCGATATTCCCCCGCTGACGAAACCAAAACCCCAGAGAGATTCGAAATTCCCTCCGCCCCGGCCGCTTCCTTCGACTAATAAAGAAAAAAAAACAGAGCCGCGGCGCTCCGGCGAGCAGATGGGGAGAGATAGGAGGGAGGGGTGGGGCGGGGCTTACGTCCGGCGGCGTCGTCGGCCATGCAGAGGGCGGTGATGCCGTCGGTGCGCTTGGCGTGGAAGACGTAGCGGTCCTGGGTGTAGGAGACGTGGCTGTCGGCGCCGCCGCCGGGGAGGCGCTCGAGGACCTGGCGCGCGACGGCGCCCGCGTTGGTCGCCGCCGCGCTGTGCTCCGCCAGCACCGTCGCGCCCCGCGCCACCACCGCGTACAGGATCGGCATCCCGCCGCTCCTCCTCCCGCCTCTGCCGTGTGGACTCTGCTCTTCTTTCTTTCTTTCCTCGGGGGCAGGGGGAGGAGAAAGGGGAGGGAGGGAGGGAGGGGAGACGGGGTATGTAGGTAGGCAGGAGTAGGAGGAGTAGGATGATCTGGCAGCAGCGAGGGACAGCTCGGGTTGGGTGGAGCCGTTGTTTAATTGGCGGCGGGGCCCGGTGAGCCGACGTGAGCTGTTGCGGTTGGGCGCGGCCTCGGCTCGCTGGCCGCCCCGGGTTCGCTGGGCTGGGGCTTGGGGAACGTAGTCCGGCTCGGGCCCGTTCCTGTCCTTGGGATTTAGTTTTTTTTTTTGAGAAATGATCTTGGGAATTCTCCAACGTGCTCTGCACTCTGGCACGCGTGAAAAAACCACAAAATTGGCCCTTAGGCCAAAGTTCAGCGCAAAATGACCTCGTTTTCAAAATATTTCACAAAATGGCCCTACCCACATGACGCCCGTGCCCGGAGCGCCATGCTAGATTACATAACGCCCCGGTCAAGGACTCCATACACGTCAGCGCTGACCACCACATCGGCCTGGCCTTGGGTGCATGACGCCGCGGCCCAGGGCGCCATGCTCTGTAACACGACGCCCCGCCCTTGGGTGCCATACCTCTTCACTTATCCCTGCCCGCATCCTCTCCTCTCTGCTTCGTTCTTCCCTCCTCTCTGTTTCTTTCCCCCACCATGGCGCCCCTCAATTCATGCCTCCCTCTCCCCACTCAAGTGCTGTGGATCTGAGCCAAAAATTGGTGGATCTGGTTGTCCTTCCAATCCCGAAGGTATTCTCCTCCCTTTCCCCTCTTTCTATTGGTTTGATTTGGGTGAAACCCTGGTTCATCCTTTTCTTGAAATTATCATTGGATTTTGGTGTGATAATGTAGGCATTAGTGTGATTTAGGATATGTATGGCTTAGGATATGTATGATATAGAATAATGAAAGTGCTATGAATTTGGTTAGGATATGTACGCACATATATGGTGTATGGAAGAATTAGTGTAAAATTAGGAAGGCGGATGGATGGATATTTGCAATTATTGCAAATATATGGTGTATGATACCGTAGAAAATTATATGCACATATATTGTGTATGGAAGAAGAATTAGTGTAGAAATTTTGCACATGTATGTATGTTTTTGCACTAGTGTGAATATTTGCAAATGTCAACGGGGCTTAGCATATACATTTGTAATTTGCATGATGGCTTCTCTTATCCATCCATCGTACGATCAATTGCATTGTGGACGGTTCATGGCAGATGAAGGAAGGGTTTTTGATCGGCTTCACCTGAGGTCCGATTCGGTTCAGTTCATCATACGCTCGCCCCTGCTGTCTTTTGAGTTGCTATTATGTGTATGCATGATGATTAATAAGGCCCCACTATGATATCGAACTACGATATTATATAGATTGTGAATATATTATCATACACTAGTATCATATCGAACTACGATATTATAGATTGTGAATATAGTACAAGTACTTTATAAATGCGTGGTGTCATGGGAGCAAGTCTGACAGTAAGAATAGGGGGTATGTAGGAGGAGGCAAGGCCCTAGCTACGGCAAGGTTGTGCACGCAAGATTTACGAGTTCACGCCCTTCTCGGAGGAAGTAATAGCCGTACGTCTCGGTGCCCCGAGGCTTTGTCGACTGGATTATGCGTGAGAGTTACAGGGGTGCGAACCCTTGTGCCAGAGGAGGGGGTGGCTTATATAGAGTGCGCCAGGGCCCTCCAGCCCTCAGTTACACAGGGTTCAATGTATGTTTAAGGCAGGGGTGTTACTGGTAATGCTAGCAATAAATGACTATAATGATCTTTAAGACTACGGAGTGAATGCCTGACCGTTGCCATCCTGGGGTGGCTTTAGATCTTCTGTTCTTCGAGTGATTCTTCGTATGGTCGAGTGGAATTGGGGTATCCAAGTGAGATAGCTGGTCGAGTGGATTGCACTCCTAGGTGATTTCAGTCGGTATCTTCTGTTGTACTTTGAATGTTCTTGACTCTAGGGTAGTGTCCTTGGGTAGGGCGTCTAGGTCAGGCCTATGACTTTACCCTAGGTACATGTCATCGTCATTAGCCCCCGAATGGATTGAGGTCCGAGTGAAGAAGGCTTGAAGTTGGTTCCAACTCGATTCCATGCTTCAGAGGCATTTCACTGGAGTCTGGAAATCATGCTGAAGCTTCAACCTTGTTTCAGTCGCCTTGATCAATTCAGAGGTCCTTGAGTGAATTACAGTGATAATCTACGAGTGTTGTTATGGTGCGAAATCTTTGGCGTGATTGGTTGCTCTGCAGTTTCCGGATCTCACGGGATTCGAAATTTTGGAGAAGCGCGCGGGACGGAGCGTGGCGCAGTAAGCGGAATGGACAGACATAGGCTCCTCGATTTTCGTGCCGTCTTTTTCGCCATGTGTCGGGTGAGCGTCTGCTGCGGGATGCAATAAAATCGTCTGGATCCACCGGTCAGCCACTCGGAAGCAGCCTCATAAAGAGCGATCGGGCCGATGTGATGCACAGTGTGCCTCATTCGGTCATGTTCTCCTTTGCCTCTCCACCGCGCATCTCTCTGCTCTTGTTGCCTCCGTCCAGTCCGCGAGTACTCCGCCGACATGGGGAAGGATAAGACCGCGGCCCTGGAGCGCGCGAAGAAGGTGTCGGCAGCGGCGAAAGGCAAGAAGATGGCTCAGGGGTCATCGTCGCGGTCCGGTCTGCCTCCTGCTTGGGTCCAGGGGGACTGGATCCGCTCCATAATCGTGCAGGAAGACTTGGAGAGGCTCGCCGAGGACGATATGATTGCTGACAAATCTTGGAGGTTGCCGGAGGGGGAATCTGAGCCCCAGCCGCGCGAGGGTGAGCGCGTCCTCCTCACCACTCACGTTGATCGGGGGTTTTCTCTTCCTCCGCATCTGTTCTTTCGAGGTTTCTTGAACTTTTTGGTGCCCAGATTCACCATTCCCCCCAACACAATCATATATCTTGCCGCATACATCTCTTTGTGCGAAAACTTTCTGGGCTGCCAACCACACTGGGGTCTCTTCAAACACATCTTCACTTGTCGCTCCCAGACGGTGAAGAAAGCGAATCCGACTGACGAAAAGATGCGCATGATCCAGATGTGCGGGGGTTTAGGGGTTCAAACTAGGTGTAGAAGCACTTTTCCTTCCATGACCCTTCCCGAGTCAGTCCGCAGATGGCAGTCGACCTGGTTCTACTGCAAAGACGTCCCGACTCCTGGTCAGTCGACCGGTCTCCCCCCTTTCACTATGGAGCGACTCTGCCAACCTTCTTCACTGATTGTGACCCCAGAGGAGAAAGGCGAGGTGTCTCTTTTAGTCGACTAAGTCATTAACTTGGTTCGGGAGGGTGTCACTGGCTTGGATCTGCTGGAGGTGCTCCTCAGTCGGCGAATCCAGCCTCTCCAAGCCCGTGATCATCCCCTAGAGACACCGCTTGGGTCCACCTAGAGGAGGTCACCGAGGAGACGGTGGCCCAGTGGCTGAGGAGCATTACTAGGAACAAAGATAACGCCAGGGGGTCCAGGAGGATTCGGTCATTCGACGCCGAACATGAGCCAGAAGAGGTCAGGCTAAAAAATCCCGAGTGTTTTCTCCTTCCGATATGCAATTGTTCTTGAATCCGAGTGATACTTGTAGTTTTGTCTTGCAGATTTATACCAAGATGTATTCGATGCCAAACGGGGAACAACTCTAGGAGGGAGAGGAGAGCATAGATGAAAGCGCCGATTGGCGATCTGGAGATGATAGTGAAGATGACAGTGATGACTCGAGCAGCAGCGAGGAGGTTGACTCGCTGCCCCGCTCAGAGCGCTGCTCCAAACAATCCCAAGATCCTGTAGGTGCGCAGCAAGGCAGTTCCACCAAGCACGCAAGCACCAAAGCGCACTCGGACCTCAACTCTAGATCCGTCGGAGAAGGCCGCTAAGCAGCCCAAGGTTGTCCCACCAAAACCTCGGAAGGCCCTGCCCAAGATCAAGGTGGATGTTCTTGTTGCTTCTGCTAAGTGCTTGTTTCTTCTCTTTGTCTTCTATGTTATTGTTGACTCATTCGCTTGCATGACTGAGTGAATTTCAGAGCTTTCAATGCTGCTACCTCCGGGACTTCCATGGACATTGATAAGGAGTAGGACAATGTGGAAACTTCAGACGTGACCACCTCTCGGGCAGGTACATCTCCATAGTCATGCTCTTACTTCATCAACTGTTCTAATGGTCGACTGAATTCTTACGGTTGAATGGTTTGTAGTGCCACCAAATTTTATTCAACTTCCAGATGACGATGATGATGAAGAAGCGCCATCAAGGAACACATGGAGAAGGGACGGGACTCTGAGCAAGAAGGTGCCTGCCAGCCAAGTGTCCCACTAGACATCAACATCAGAGCCAATCGTTCAACAACTTGGAGACTTAGTTCAGACTTATGTTTCTTTTGCTGATCCTTTGTCGACTAACCAGCCTTCGGCGTCGACTACTCAAGCCCCTATTCCGACTATGCAACTTCAATCTTCAGCTCCTTCAGCTACCTCATCTGTTCCACTGCCCCTCTTTTCGTTACTCATCACGTCCCGGAGGACCAGGTAGGTGCTGCCAAGGAAGTCATGCTCCAAGCAGGCTTAATGATGGACCGAATGAAGGCGGTGTACGAAACCAGCAAGGCTTCCTATGATGCCAGCTCCGCCCTTCAAATCAATGTCCGAGTAAGTGGGATTGTAAGTTGATTTCCGATTGGTTTCCAACTTAACCTTTGCTCTGCTAGGATATGCTATCTGAAAACTGCTGCTTTATTATTCGTAAGATGTCCGTGGATGAGCATTTTGGAACCTTACAGTACAAAAAAAGACACATTCGTGACATTTTGGGCCGAACAAATTTTTTTCTGTCATACTTATGACACTTCTATGATGATAATTGTGACAAAACCCGGTATCGTCATAGATGTGGTGGGGTCC